GAACTGAAAATAGTACACAAAATGTCACCCTTACTGACCCAGCCTGACTTTTATACCATATATATATTGGTACCATAGTACGACTAGATCAATTAAATCAATATGCGTTATGACACCCTTACGTGAAGTGTCTCGTCTTAGATAGGGATTATTCGATACAACTAAATACAAGTAGGACTTCCATTCTTTTGATTTCGATACCGAGTACTTTGGTAATTGATTCGTTCTTTCGAAACAAATACTTGGTATCGAAATAAAGTACTCGTATCGAATCGAATTATCAAAAGTGTAAACACTGCCCAAAGCCACAGAACATATATTTATAAAGATATAGAATATTTTGTGAAGTCTATTGAAGAACTTGAGTTGGATATCTCACAGCCATCAACATCTAGCGGTTCTAAATTAGAAAACATGGTGGAATGAAAAAGTTTTTTTGATGCTAGTACGGATAGTAACATACCTCCACAAAGGACTTAAGAAGAGGCATTTTTACAAGTTTCGGCCAATAAGGAAAATCAATTATTTCTAGTACTTTTTCTTTATTGAATATAATATATATATATCTATTTTGGAGGGAGGTTCAAAATACAACAAAATAGTGCAGGTTTTAGCGTTTTTTGTTTGCAATTATTGCCTCCCTACATTGTGGAAGGAGAAGGATTTTTACGCCTTCTGAACGTGCTTCAACCTAATTTTAAGGTACCTACTTAGTGCAGCTTATTTAAAAAAGATGACCCACAAAAAATATGAAGCTTGTGTAGCTACAGCTAAAGCTAAATTTTGTCAAAGATTAACAATATTTGTCTCAGATTGGACATTTGGACTGAAACAATGAACGAGCGAGGTTTCTTAGGTGTGACATGTAATTTTCTTCAAAATAGTAAAATGCATATGCTCTATCTAGCTATTCGTACGCTCAATGAAATATTTGCCCTGTTTGGCTCACAGAATAAATCACATCGTTGAAGAGGCTTTAAAATGACCAAATGTAAAGCTAAATCTAAGGTTTGTGAAATTGTGCCTTGAATAAAAAAGATACGTATTAATGGATCTGAATAGTCAGTTTTAAAACTTATTGCCGATATCAAAACAATATGGAACTGAATAATATCTTTGAAAAGTGACCCATTGGGAGACATGCAAACG